GTGAAATATATTTATGTTTGTGGTTGTAATGTGACAAAATATGGAAAAGTTCAAGGGGTATGAATACTTTTGCAAACCACTGTATATAAGTGTATGACTTTACACTTTACAATAAGGCTCCCTTTGATAATTGTGGATAATGCAGTAATACAGTACAATATATGTAAAATATGTTTTAGATGTAATATACATGAACAAATTTGGCAAGAAACTGTAAATTGAGTTATAATTTATGAAGTGTTTACAGATAAATTAATAACCTATCTACAAAGTATTTATAAGCCATCTATAAGTAGAGCCTTATTGTACCGTTTTTCCATTAAAAGCAAAATAGAGATGAAGTTTTGGTTCAGATTTTTTCTTGTGTTTTCAAACTAAAAAGACTAAATCTGAGCGATCTGTATTTCTCAGCCATATTTCAGATCATTCAGAGCATCCGGATGGGGATGTGACCCAGGGGGGAAGCTTTGGACCCCCGCCCCCTTCCTCACGCCCTCACTGAGCCCGGCTAGCCTGCGCCTGCACACCTACGACCCCGGTCCCCCTCCAGAGACCCCGGACGCAAAGTTGGAGGGAGAAGACCCGTTTCTCCCTCCGGACCAAGCCCCGCCCCCCGCACCGGATCAGCGTTTACAGCGTCGCAGTCTGTGGTTCTGACAGCTTTTCTATGAACAGTGTGAAACCACGCCGGCTGGAGAACACCTCATCTGCTTGGCACCTGTGTGGGTGTGTATGAATATATAGATGTGTGTAAATAAATATATATGTGTGTGTGTATATAAATATATATGTGTGTGTGTTGCTGACAATGTGCCATATTCATCTGTAAGTTTTTTTTAAATAAATGTTGAGCAAATGGAGAACACCTACTTCTTCACATACTTAATTGTATTTAGTTTTTAGAGCCAGGTTTTTGTGCCTAGCCCAACATGAACAATTTGACCCCATCTGCATTGTTTGGGTTTTTACTTTGATAAAAACGTTTATTTTTATATAAAGCCCAGTTTTGTTACACTAAGATATTTTAGTCAAGCTGTGGAAACTCCGTTTATAGGTTCACCAAACTGTTAATTTGTAATAAATAGGTGAACTCAGTCATTTTGCAAACACTACTCAAGTCTAGTATCAGATCTCCTTGGTCCTGTGCGTACACAAATATAAAAATATGACTAAATCGACTCATGTTTGCAGGTAAAATGTGCTAAATAATAGCTCCCATTTGCTCGAGTGCAGCTTAAACACAGGAAAGAGACGACCAACCAGCTGTTTGGTTTTTTTTCCTTTCTTAAGCATGTTTATTGAAAGTTGTGAGGTGCAGCTGTCAAGTGCAATTGTAGGTATTTATGTCATCACATCCGGTCGTTGAGGAAACATGCACAGAACATGAGCATACAACTGATACACAGAATTAAAAAAGAAAAAAAGATCCTCAGAGCTTGTGTTTTTTTTTTTCCTTCCTTAGGTTGCTTTTTTTTGTTTGTTTTTTGTTAAGATCAGAGTTATTCACTGTCAAAAGGAAAAAAAAGGTGCAACACTTCATAAAGAAACAAAAGAGAGCGATGTGAAAAGTGTTTACAGAGTTAATGTTGCAGTAACGGAGCAGGACAACAGTTGTTGGTTTGAGTTTTGTCAGTTAAATAACCTAACCTCCTTTTCCATCCACAGTCCTGAAAATACAGCATTAAAGATAGATGACAGGAACCGAGCGTTTTCTCCTGCTCATCTGCATCAATCTGTGACCTAGATAGCATCTTTTTTCTCCTCCTCCTCCTATTTTACAATGTACTTACACTATACATAAATGTACATCATCTTTTGCCCTTGAAAGGAGGGGAAAAAAAACAACAAAAAAATGCAGCTTTAGCCCAAAGCTCCCACCCTGTCAGATGAGCTTTAAACAACATGCCACAGCAGGGTGGAGAAAACGGCAACAATGAGCTTCGTCAAGGGCGAAAGGATGAGCTTTGAAAGTGAAATACTGAAAATAGATTCTCATCATCTCCATAAGAAACCAGTTGTTGTTTTTTTGTTCAACCCGCAGTTTAAGTAACATCACTGCTGCCAAAATGTCCAAAATAACCTCCCCACCAACTCCCCCCATTCCAGATGGGGACWTTGACGTGATAATAGGTGCTCACATTCTTCATGTCACTCAGAGGAGTCTTCTTCCTCCCCAAGAGAACTTTATTTAAACCATCTCCCACCTGCTGCTTCATGGTTAGTTTATCACTTAAAATCCAGACAGGCACAGTGATTTTATTTCTTTAGCTAAGCAGATTTTTGTCATAAGCTGTTTGTTTTGTTGTTTTTTTTWATCTTGGTGAGACATTCTTGTTGATGACTGATGGTTATTTGGCAAATGTTTTGAGGATTCTTCTGAAAACAAAGCCCCCCACACGAACAGCATGTTTAGATTGTCACTCTTCACTGTGTCGAGGAGCACAGCTGTCTGCATCCTTCAGAGATAAATATGTGCAAAATCTTGTGACAGCGTAACCTCCCGCTGGAGAGAAGGCAAAGTTTGGCTCTGCGGCTGCAGCAGAGCTGAGAAACTACGAGTTCGGTCCGTCGGTGCGGGCCGGGCTACGCCGAGGGGCCCGAGCTGTGCGAGGCGGGCTGGACGAGGGCGGCGGGGTTCGGGGGTCCCGTCGGAGCGGCCGCCGCGGGTGCRGGCGGGGAGCCGGTCTGGACCTGGGCCTGAAACTGGGCCATCTGCTCGGGGCTGGCCAGCGTCCTTAGCAGCGCGTTCTCCTGCTCCAGCTGGGAGTTTCGCTCTAGCAGCTCCTTGATCTGCTCCTTCAGGACCTCCACCTCCTCACGGACTGCGTACATCAGGTGGCTCTTCACCAGGTCCTACAGTCAGGCAGAGACATGGGGTCATGAGAACCACACCAGAAAAACCAACATTTTCACGTCTTTAAGTTATACAGTACTGAGTATGTCTGCAAGAGTAGAATCTACTTTCAGGTTGAATTCACACGGCAGGCTAAAGTGACACAAATCTATTTTTTTTTTTTGCACAAGATCCATTTTGGATTTTTAAAAAGTCTAAACATGACAAACTCAAATTTCAAATCTAAMTTTTTTAAAATTGATACTTAATCAGATACATATTTGATGTTTTTGAAATCAACCTTCATCTGAATTTTTTGTTTCATCTCATCCAACCTTTATCTCACTGATGTAGGAGAATAAAGATTGATCCAGATGTTGATATTATCGATACCAGCGTCAGGCTATTTAAAGCTTGGCTTTAGTTAGGGTTTATCAGTTATTCCATTTGTCTCAGCGCYACAGTAACTTCCTGTGACAGAAACATGTAGCAGTTAACTTTTGTGTTTTCACGTTTTACTTCACTGAACCCWGAAGAATAAATATATATGAAACATGACTGTCTTCAGTAAAGCCTTTCAAACATTTATTACTGTGTATAAATTATGTTAATTACATTMGTTTGTTTATAGTGTTTTCGATTAAGCAGAAATAAACCAATCRGCCAAAATTTGCCACTTACACAAAAAAATCTGCAACCAGCAGTGCCTGTAACTAATCACTTACCAAGAAGAGAAAAGGTGCAGCAGAGGCTGCTGAGAGCTTACTGTAGCTCACATTTTGTTTTGTTTTTTTGAGTGAGGATGGTTTTCTCCATATTTAGGTGTAGTAGTTGTTAAATGTTTATTTATTGAAGCAATTAGTTTATAATTTGTTTAAAGCTATATATACCCATACTGACCACAAAACAAGGAAACATATTTGACATGTTATAGTAAACTCCGAGTCAGTGTTCAAGATAATTACAATTCAGCAACCATTTTAATTTTTGTAAATTAAAAAAAAATAACAGTAAATTAGCTTGATTTATACTTATAATAATGGGATTTAATTGCATTTAATTGCATTAAATTGCAGTAAAGTGTAAATTTTTTTTTACTCAGATATGATTTTAAATGTTGCCCGCTCTTCTTTTTTTTAAAAAACACAACTGTTAATCTGATAATAAGCTGATAATAAATAAAAAAATCTGAGGGAAAATAATTCCCAGGTGCTACGTCATTAGCCCAGCCCACGTTTCCGTGTCAGCCAATCAGAGGCCGAGATATATTTAACTAGGTGTAAAAAGGCTTTAGTTTGCCTAGCAACAGCCCTGACAGAGATGGAGAAACAGAAAGCACAAAGCAATATCTAGTTTTATCTGTTAACGATAACACTTAATATTACTYTTATTTAAAAACATAAAGCCTGCTTTAATTATGTAGCACGGTTGCACTAATACATTACTCCATCAGTCTCTAAGGGTGCAGGAAGTAAAGCCCTTTTCCCCCAGCACTGAGGATTTAATTTAAACAAAGCTTTAAACTCACCATTGCCTGTTCAATCTTGTTGTCTATGGCCACCACGCTGGCTCCCGACGAGCTGCAAGACAAGGAAAGAGGAGTGAATACATTTACTGCTGCAGTGAGAAAAGATGAGGAGACTCCGCTCCTTGAGAGGAATGTGGGTCAGTCAGCTTCTGGAAATTTCTATAAAACACGGAGAAACCCTATTGATGCAGATGCGCTGGGGATGAAAATGCACCTCTCTTTTATTTATTTATTTATTTATTTTTACCTATTGTCGAGCTCGACTTGGGAGCTCTCTGCGCTCAGCAGCGACGACAGAAACGAGATGGAGAAATTTCTCAGCTGGCAGACGCCTAAATCCATGGCCACGGAGTAGCACGACGACGTCATGTTTTAAAGAATATTTATTATTATCGGCGAGCAGCCTCGAGTCCACCTCCACGCGACCAGCTTCGCGACATCCGCCTCTAAAAATCCCGACAGCCGCAGCGGTACGGATCCAACCCAAGGTCAGCCCATCTCAGCGGGACACAAAGGGCTGCAGCTCCCCTCAGTGGTACCCCCCACCCCCACCCCACCGCATAATTTATCCCCAAGGAGCCGGCTCCTGATTGGTCGAGCCGCGGGTAATTTATTCGGGAACGCCTCCACCTGCCGATCAGCTGACACGTGCTGCGTCCTCCCCGCAGGTGGACGGAAACAGGAAGGGAGGGGCCAGGACCTACCCGAGGCTTTTAGTAATGAGGTGGGGGTAAATACTGCTGCAACCAGGCGAATTACTCACTGCTGCCTGGTATTTTACTAACATATTCACAGAGGTGATGCTTCCCATCCTTTTAGTGGCTCTCTAAAAATATTAAAGTCTTCCACATAGACAATATAAAAACATGCTGGACCACAACCTTCAACCCGAAGGGTGAGAGGCATCTGCTGCAGAATATTTAAAAATATAACTAATAGAAATATATTGTCAACACAATCAAGTCATTTTTAAGAGGAAACACAGTGATTTTATTCTTTTAAGTTGTTTTCTATGAGCATATATCGCCCTCGTGTGGTCATGTACGGCACTGCACCGGTTTTAACCTAAATGTTTAAAAAAATCTGATACATTTTTCTCTGTGCTCAAAAAGACCAACATCACATCTAAAAAGTGCATTTATAAGATTTTATAGATGATAACATTTTAGTCATCTGCTTTAGGTTGTTCCCTCTTCAGCAGACCTACATAAACTAACTCCCCTGTAATAATTTTCATCTCAATCAAACAATGCTCTCACCCACCGACACATACAACCCTCTCTACTCTCTCTGAAGGGTCACACTCTCATATTCACACACATGGAAAACCCTTGAAATTACTTGTACTCACTCAACATTTAAACACAATCATATTTACACACTACATGGTGAAGAGAGGATGCATGTCTGGTTCTTAAAGTACTTAAAGTGCACAATGCTACCAGTGTCAGCTTTAACACCAGAGGGAGGATGATGAACAACAATCAGAAGAAGGGATTGAATCATCTATGAATGACTGATACTGTCAGAATATTTAATTAAAACAAAAAATGTGTAAATATGCTGAATGTGTGCGTGTCTGCTGGTCAAAAATCCAAAAGGTTATTTACACAAACTGGCAAGTAGTTCTAAAATAAAACATTTTTAAACAATACAAACTAGTTTTCTGTTCATTCAGTCCTAAAGCAGCTCTTTAAAAAGTAACAAGAATGAAACAGAGGTATGTCAGTTATCAAAAAAGCATTCAAGCAGGGTCACAAAGTTGATGTTTGGTAGCTTCCAAGTGGTTTCTGACCATAAGGACACAAAAACGTCTAATAAACTGACAACACATTTATTAAAAAAGGTCAGTGTGAGGATAAGATGCATTAAATACAAGTGTGTTTTCTGCATTTTTAGGAAATGATCTACACTAAAACATCCAGGTATTACTCAAATAAAAATCATATTTTACAAAAACACTTCTCTAATGCAAGAGGTCCAGCAAACAGATGCTAAGGATTTAAACATGACACAGCGGAAAGTCTTCATACACAAGCAGGAGTAAAGAACTAAACAAATACACATAAACAAATATAAAGATATCCACTGAATCCTGCAACTGGGGCTGGGATAAGATACCAAAAGTGGGGTCTTGAGAAGGTCTACAGAAATCAAATGATGAAAATAGTTGAAAAGGCTCTTTGGTAATAGCTGATTTGTGATGTTTGTATACTAGGAAAATAGGAAAATATACTAGGAAAACAGTAATAATTAATAATAAGTGTCTATTTGTGCAACTTACTACACTGCATTTGAATCAATTCAAAGTGGATCAATTTCTAATTTAATTTATTTTGTGGAAACTACCATTAAAAGGTTTAAAAGTTATTTGTGTGTCCATGAAAAGAACCATTTTTAGAGTCATCTGCAAATTTAGGCTTATCAAAATAGCAATAAATATTTTAATAAAAGTGATACAGAGSTTCAATGAGTCTCCAGTCAACTTTGATTCCAGTCAAACACCTAAGTACTTACAGTACCAAGAAGCCTGATGCCTAAAAAAAGATACTTAAGCCTCTTTTAGCTCTGACTAGAAGAGGTTTTAGCTTCTTATCCCACACCCAAATAGCTCGTTCAGCTGAAGCTCGAAGAATCAAACCCTGGAGATGTTTTCAAAGATAGAGGTGCATGGTACAACAATGATTTCAAAGCACAAGATGGGCTGATTTATTTTTGATTATCTTGAAAAATCCTTTGAATTCTCTGCTATTATCACCACGTTTCACAGACGAAGCCGAACTATAATACAGCTGATACTTTGAGATGCTAAAATGATTTTTCTTAAGTTTTTAATTGGTTTAAAGCATTTGAGGGTTTCGATCCTGCATGAATTCACAGTCTGCCCTGGAGACAACCAACAGCACTGCAGTAAAAACACTGGCCCAGTGACCCAGTGAAACAGCACAAGAGAAATGACCCGAGCTGTCGTAATTTCAGCTGAAGTCAACTGGAAATTCTTTGTACCGCCGCATCAATCTGTACATTTCCCTAAATAATCTATCAGCTTTGTTGCAACTTAAAGAGAAATAAAAGCAAAGAGATCACATATTCTTAAGTGTTAATCCAACCAGAAGCCTGCATGACGGAACAGAAAGGACTACTCAACCTTTTGTGTGCAGTTGTGCTACAGTGGAGCCTCTCTGTCTATTTTACCTTTTGAGATGCTGCTCCAGCTCCCAGAACAAAAGCTTGACTGCCATCTCGTCATGGCCCCGCAGATTTATCCCCTGCACTCTCATTGACGTGTCTCTCAGCTGGAACATATAGAGTCCGGTGTAACACGGCGCTGCTGTGTTAACGATCTCCTTTGTTTGGGATTTTTTTTTTCTGTGAACAGCTCCTGTTCCTTCTTACATTTAGAGATCAGATCTGGGCCACGGAGACAGATGCATTAGTGACTGAAGCTGCACGCTGAGCCTTCCTGTGATCATGAACGTGTGTCCWTCATCTTTCCTCCATGCCAACCATTTGTGTTTGCATGTGCAGGCAGCAAGCGCATCACTGAATACAGACAGTTGCTGCGCGGGTGGTGACGTGTGATCATGTGGTCCTAGGAGTTACATAAACCATCAACMGAGATTAGCATGTGGCTCAGTGATTTCCCTGCTCCTAATGCTSCAAGGCCTCTAACCCTCAGAAAACAAACCTCAACATCACTGAAATACGCCTCCTTAGGTGATAAACACGCTATATATTGTCCAAAATTCTGAGGACATCACAGTCAAAATCACCCAATTTATGAAATGTTTAAAAAAACTTGACGACACTTTTGCTAAGTTGATTTTTTTCCTGCAACCTCRTGATTTTGTACGTCGCCTCTCTGAGAGACGAGACAAGAGACGTTCTTGCGCTTCAGGGTTTAATCTCGTCACTTCTCATTGAAAAGCCGCTCCAACGTGCCATAATGCCTCAGCAAACAGAAAACAACAAAAATGMTCTCACAGGGCCTCCGCTGGCTTAGAGACGGTCGGCCAAGAAACAGATGGTAAAAAAGGCGAGGTGGATCCCGGGGATTTTGCTTGTCCCAACAGACTTGATGCTGGGGTGAACCAGTGGCACGTSACTTCTGGGAAAGGTCATCCGTTACAGACTTCTTAAAGCACTAACATTTCCAGTAAACAAGGTTATCCGAACTCTAGCTGGTAGCTTAACTTCTGTTCTTATGTTAAGAAATTACAGCTGGAACCAGCTCCAATTGGTCAAATTCAGAATAAATCTTTTATTAGAAATGTCAGGTGTAAGTGAATTTAATTGTAAGCTTTCTCAATAAGAAAGAAATCATCTTTGCCACACTTGCTAACTGAATAAATTGATTATTAATACTTAAAAATGAAAACAGAACAAACAACATCAAGTTATGATTTCAAACCGTTATCTGCTGTAACGCTCAAGCACACAGACAGCATTTGCTGGACTATTACTCATCTTTACTTTCTAAACATAAAACTGAAAGTTAAGGTCCAACTAAAGGCAGCTACAAAACCAAGAGCCAAGTGTGAGAATTGGGTAACGTTGCAGCATCAAGCTGAGCTTTACAAAAACATGCTTAAAAGGTTCTTAAGTTCAAACAAACGGCAGTCATCTCTGATCTGAATCCATTTCAAGTTTGAATCTAACCAGACATCATGTAAAAAAATGCAATCCAAAAGCAATTTATCGCATCACCTACCAAGACTCAAAAAGACATTTTTGCTTTCAACTCGGTTTGTTGTCTACTGCACATCCACTCTACCACAAAACTCCTTCCAATTTGGATTTAGAGAAACTCACCAAAAAAAATGTCCAAYAAATGAGCTCGGAATCCACAAATCTGGTACGCCGATTGATTTTCCATGGTTGTTTCATTTCATCACTGCTGTCCAAAGCTCCTGACCAGCATGCATTTATTCAACATTCATTAGCTTTTATTCAAATAATAGCAAAAGAGCAGTATGTAGGTCAGCTTTATGTCTTAGAGGAAGACGTCAGTTCTGCAGTGCTTTGGGAGGGAAATGCAGACTCTAATTTTTA